ATTGATTAGCAGGGTAAGAAAATGAGGTGCTGGTGGTGAGTCGTGTACAGAGGGACGCCTCGCAGGAGCAAAGCCCAGGTGATAATGACTGTGGCCTCCTCCGCCCCCCCTACTTGTCTCGCTTCATCATAATCACACTGGCCTTAAACATCTTCTCCAGGCCTCCCGCTGCTCTTTCACTCTATCGCTCTCTCTGACACACACACACACACGCACCTGCAGACAGAGCATAATGACCTTAGATCAGGAGCAACTTTCTTCCCATTTGTGTGCGTGTGTGTATAGGCCACTGAGCTGGCAGAGCTTACCTCTAAGATCTCCCAGCTGGAAGACGCCAAGAAGAAAAAGGACGAGGAGGCAAAGAGATGGCAGAAAAGGGTGAGAATTAATGAAAGAACCACGAGAGAGATAAAGGATGAATCAAACATGAGCAAAGAGCAATGTCTGACACTACTAAGTGTAAGACCCAGGTAAAATAGAAGGAATGCGTTAACCACAGAAAAGTATATCACTAGACTTTGAAACTGTGATTGTATGAACTTTATGGGTTTCAATGCATTGTCACATGTTGTAAACTAAAGCCCTGTAAAGCCACATTTGGCTGAAACAAATCATTATATCCATTTAACTTGTAAATTTCAGGTTTACCTAAAGTGTATGCAAATCTTTGCATACAAATAAGCAGTACTAGTCTGAACCTGCATGTAGCCTAACACTGCAGTGTTGCCACTTTTCCTGTTGTCCAATGACCTTGGGAGACTGTTGCGTGCAATGATAACAATTCGCATTAGTCATAGCAGATAACATACTTAGATTTTTGCATTTTGGGTCAAATACCCATTTAAATAGTACAAAATTGTAGAGGTAAAAGAGCCAGATGTCCCCAAAGAACATCCAGATATATTTTATTCTAAAACGTTTTATTTCAGCTTTGTGGCATGGGGCATCTATTCATTTTGTTAGAACAGAAGCACCATGTTTCAAATTGGGATTAGGTCGCATTCGTGGAACAAATCCAGTAGCTTACTTATCCAACCACTGCACTTCAATGCAAGTCATGTGTGTTGACAGGCGATCGTGGTAGAAGCTGATTTGGAGCGAACCAAAGTGGAGTTGAAGACTAAACTCATGGGTGTCCACATCCAGGATTCAGTCCAACCTCATATGCATGAGCACGACGAGACGGATGAGAGCAGTGCAGAGGCGAGTGCTGAGCTGACTTCCCCAGGCATGGTCCGTGATCGCAGCGAGGAGGAAAGAGTAACAGAGGCCCAGAAGAACCAGAGACTGCAGAAAAGTCTCAAGGTAAGGCAAAGTGAATATAAGTAAATGTTTTGAGTTAAATCTCTTAGATGCATTGCTGTGACATTTGCTACAGATTTTGAATGTCCCTAGACAGCCTCACAAAGTCACTGGCTGTAGACTCATAGTCTTGTTTCCAGAGAATCTCTGGCTCTCAATCGCGGACTTCAATTCTTATTTATACAGTAATTTTTAAAGTAACTGTCTCATTTAGAAGGTATTCGGCTTAACAAGAGTGACATATGTATTAGCATAGCACACTCCACTGCCATTTCCTTGTCCAACCTCTTACAGTTTATGGTTTGAAAAGCACATTTTTGTTGCTGTTGTGTTGTTAAAGTTATGTTTTGGTACATTTGCTGTGTTATCAGCTGACACAGTCATTAAGAGATTTTGACTCTGCTGTAAAGATGGCAGCTAAATTGCCACCAAAAACTGTGTTTCACCAAATAAGTGCACTCTAGATAATTAAACATTGTTGCAGATACATTATGATTCTGTTGGTAAATCTCGTCCAGACCATCCAGACCATCCAGACCAGACTTATTATAAAACTGAAATAAAATTGGTCTCTATCTCACAACAAAAACAAGATATGATATTGCATAGAAACTCAGCACAAAATGGACCTAATAACTATGGACAATGGAGTGTCTTCAGATGGGGACTGGGGAGAGTACAGGGGTGAGGCGAGATGGGCAAGGCTTCAGAATAGTCTCCTAAAGAGTCTCAGGAAGGAGGAATTAATTCACTGTGTATTTGTGTTCGCTTTCAGTTCCTGAGCACTGAGCTTGCTGGAGCCGTCGACGAGACCAAAAAGACCCCCAATGACCTGATCCACGCAGATAATGTGAAGGCGGGCCGTGACAAATACAAGACCCTACGTCAGATTCGTCAGGGCAACACCAAACAACGTATTGATGAATTTGAGTCCATGTGAGAGAGACTGATGTAGGCCTACTCAGACTGAAGGCAGGAATATGATAGATGATGAAATCGGACACACAGAGAAATTTTAGAAGTTTAGCTGCAGATTTTTGCATAGGTAGAAAATTAACCTGACATGAAGCTGGTTGAATATAATGGCAAATGATATTGTTACTGTGCTTTGATTGAAATACATTCATGGTCCACTTCAGTGCTGCAAACATACGAGACATCATCTATACTTTCATTTATGAAAAGTGTCAATCTTATTACACGCAGGTGCAATCTTAATATGCCAACTAATGAAAAACCTTATGAATATTGATTAATGAACACAATGACATTTAAGACACTTGTTATTATTCCAACGAAATGTTAAATCCTCTATTCTTTATCACCGAAATAAAAGGCACAGAAACACTGTCAGTGTGTTGTGTGTTTGTGTGTGCATCAGCTCCCATATGAATGAGTAAGCATCACCTTAAATGTGCCTAATGAGGCAAACTGTTGTTCGGCATAAAAACAGCAATGCAATCAAAAATAAAAGCTAATTATCACCTTCAAATAGATGTGTATGTTTGCAATATGATCCAGTCACTGGACCTCTTCTATGTCACTGCCTCCACTCCTGCAAGAAACTACCCAGACCTCTCAAAGAAACAAGCAATAACGTTCTTCTTTTTTTCATTTGATAAATATTAAACATGCCTAAATTAATACAGATGCGATTGTTTTTGTTTTGATCATGTTTCTGTAGCTCTCTCTACACCATTTGTAGCTTCAGCCTTTTCTTGTCCCTGACGTCCTCATCCATCACATGCCGTCCAAAAATAAACAGATGAAAATACAGAGTGAAGGGTGTATGCCTATATTTGTCATTTTGTTTTTGAGTGTGTTGTCTTTCAGTGATTGTGCAAGACGATTTGTATTTCATCTGACATTAACCTTTTTTTTTTAATTTATTTTTATTTTGGTGAACAGGCCACTGGATTAAAGCTTAAATAACTTATTATTCAAGTCAAACTAAAGTGTCTGTGTGTGTGAGAGAGGGGGTATATTCTGAACGGACATGTCAGCAGAGTGCCGCACAATATTATTATGGCGATATACACTGATTAATTTTTAATCCTGGCTATTCTCGCGAGAACCGTCAGATTTCATGGCCAAATAATGGGAGGCACGGCGCTGGGATTCCAATTGAGACAGTAAGTTACGTTTAGGGTTGTTGTTCAGTACGTAATGTTAAGCCGCTCATTATACCCGAGTTCAAAGTTCAAGTCTGACGCGAGTTTCTAGTTACTTATGAAGTGCGGGCAAATGGCCTTTATGCACATAACCTAACGCACCGGTGGAGAAAACGCTTACTTCATAAAAAGTTCGCGAGCCCTTAACTCGCGGAACATGTTGACGGAATGTCCTTTCTTTGTAACAACCCACATCAACGACTGCTCTGTGAGTCTCCTACCCGCTGACACACATGACCGGAGTCTCGTAGGGTAGGCGTTTTCTCGTCTGGAAAGTGTTGTTTTATTTGTCCTCCTGTGCAACCAGCGCACTGCTTGAAACTCGACGCGAGCTGAAGATGGCCTTTCACTCGTCTGATATAGAAGAAACGTCAAACTGTTTAATAATGAATGAGCGGAATCGCTTGGATACCGCGGACACCTGTGCGTGCCCGACTACCGCTGAGCTCAGTAAAGCAGTGTCAGTGTCCTTAGGTTTGGATACGGTGTCTTCTCCAGCTCTGCTCAACAACATGAACCAGTGCTCCTCCAGCAGCGCCTTTTCAGACTTCGACCCCACTGTGGAGAACAGTTCTCGGGGAGTGCCGGAGTTCGGAGCGGCTCGAGATATGAACTCAGAAGGCAGCGGGTTTCTGCTGAATGACAGTACACAAAGAGAGGACGACTTTGGAGAGGTGTGCCACGGCATACAGCAGGTAAGCTGCATGGATCTGCTCAGATCGGGCGAAATGGACAGCGCGCAAACCGTGACGCGCGGCCAGGTGATATCCAGATATGTTTGCAAGGAATCAAACTTGTTTCTGAACCCGGTGGTCGAGATGCCCGCGCCCTCCCAGATGGACGAGCTGTTACCTTTGAAACCATACCCTGCGTACTCTGCCAATCCAAACCTGTACAGGGATACCCCGGGTGTGTGGTGCGCATACAGCGGACCATCCGAGCCAGAGAGAGGCGCATCTGGCGGACACACTTTGTTGTGCAAATATTGTAATTGTGGCCAGGTCTCTCATGGATCCCGGCAGGAATGCCACTGTGTCTGGTACAGCAAGAGCGAGCAGGGTCGTAAAGGTGGCACGCGAGCAGCGATGGCACAAGGGTACGGACAAGTGGAAAGTTACCAAAGTGCAATTCCTCAAGGGCATGCCACTTTTTCCAATATCAAAACCGAACCTTCAGTGTGGGTGGACTGCGCAGATCGCAGTTTCAGGTAAATATAACAGATTTTAACCATCATTGGCGTTGGGTCAGGAGTCCTGTCAAGAGACTGTCACATCTTTCCTTATTCAGTCTCATCTTTCTTTAATCAGGAGCAAAATCACAAGTGTGTGTTGTGAGCATGTCTGCCATGCTTTACAGTTGGCATTAAAGAGTCTTGCAGTGTTGATAGATAGATAGATAGATAGATAGGATAGATAGATTAGATAAACTTTATTCATTCCCCAAGGGGGGGGGAAAATTCACAGTTTCCTTGCAGTATCACAGACTGGGGCATAAAACAGAAGATTTAAATTTAAACCAAAACCTTCATCTACTAATAATAACAATAACAACAACAAAGCAGGAGGCAAAAACGCAAAAGAACCAATAAAATCAATAGCAAAATAGGAGGGTTGGGTTTGGTCCCTTTCATTTAAAAGAGTGTTATGAATTTATGAATAAATATATTACTTTAAAGCTGCTGCATTTATCTAGATCTCGTATTAATTTCTTGAAATGAATCAAGTGCAATAAACATGATTTTTCTGCAATAAACATGATTATTCTGTAAAGTTATTTGTAATTTCTCATGCTGATGTATTATAGAATCATACTTAATTCAGCTTCAGAGACAGGTATCAGCATGATCTCATTTCTGCTTCAACAGCCTCACATGTTCTTCTTGGCCTTGGCCAAGTTGTGTTTCAGCATGCACCTAGACTGAATCAAAGTTCACCTAACTTTCCAGAACTTCCATTACTATGCTGTGACTAACTACGCAAAACACGAGTTAATGTATCAGTGTCACTATAAACAGGAGATACAGCACCTGTTGCTGATTCTGCGCTTGGAATGAAAACAAGAAAACGATTTTCCACTTATTGGTTCCTGAGTAACATGTTAAGAAAATACATCTGCAGTTTGTTAATAATCACAGGGTTGCTTGTCTCTTAAATGACTTCACTTGTTGTCATATAATCAATCATGACAGGGAAATCTCCTATTATAATGTGATTGGATTTAGGGAATAGGTGCTCCAAATGACACAACAGGCAGCCTAACACTCTCTGAGAGCAGACCTAGTGACCTAAATCTGATGGTATAGTCTAATGCGACTGCCTGGACATTTTTTACAGACATTGTAGCTGTTTTAAAACAAAAACCTTTGAATCCTTAAAAAACAGCATTGCTGCTCTCTCTCTCTGTGGTGTGTGTGTGTGTGTGCGCAGACATGAGGATTTGTTTCCTGGTGTGTACCTCTCAGACAGGAGAGTGTGTCAGGTGTGCGGTGACGATGCCTCAGGTTGTCACTATGGAGCAGTCACCTGTGGCAGCTGCAAAGTATTCTTCAAGAGGGCCGCTGCAGGTGGGTGTGACACGCACACATGCACGAGTACACGCGCACAATTACTAGTTTGCTGATTTAATTACTTACACCCACTCGCTCATTCATGCAGGCAGGGCACAGTGACCTGACATTATAAGGGCGCGTTATTTGTTATCAGCAAACACCCACATATCGTTGCTATGAGTGGAAGCCTAGGCTTTGTTGAACTCGCTCCCTCATCCCCCAGGACTTTTGTGTGCCACCAGGTAAGCAGAACCACCTGTGTGCCAGCCGGAACGACTGCACCATCGACAAACTGAGGCGGAAAAACTGTGCCTCGTGCCGTTTAAAGAGATGCTTTATGTCGGGAATGAGCCTTAAAGGTGAGGAACTAAAGAAAAGAACTGAGTGAGAGACAGAAAGAAAAGTATGTGTGCCGTATATTTGGAAAATGGGGTCAGGGTGGTGAGATACCTTTCTTGCATTGGATCAGAACTTAGTAATCAAATGTTCCAGCTTAAATACAGTGTAACAAATGCATTTTAGCAAAGGCCAAAAGAACATTTTTCCTTGTAGCCAATGATCAAAAACAGGAACAGCTCCATGGGCTGATAGTTATTGAAGTGTAGCCCGTGTATAGTATTCTATCCCAGTTTAATTCTTGTTTTGTCCAGGTATCATTTGTGTAATAACCAGACAAAACAACTCAAAATGTAAGCTCCTTATCTCCTTTTTACTCTCTTGTCTTATACTTGTCTGGGCTGGATTCTAGGTCGCAGGCTAAAGGGAGCCGGACAGACAAGGAACGGAGAGGAGGAGCAACCTCTGGGTCCCTGGGGACCTGGAGAACGAGGAGAAAGGGCTGGGAAGAGAGATATCATCTTGGAGCCTGGAAGTGCAGCTGCCAGGGCTCAAAGTAAGGATGAATGTCACATAAGTATCATGCTCAAGTAATATTGAATAGTTTTCCATTAAAAAATATTGTTTTCTTTTGATACTATTCACCTTGTCTGTGTATCATTATGTGTGTTTGTCTTCAGCAGCATCCCATGCCCTGGCTCTAGGCATCCCACCGAGCCTGCGCTCCTGTCTCTCCCTGCTCAGTGTCTTGCAGACCATTGAGCCGGCCGTGGTCAATGCGGGACATGACCATGCCCTGCCAGACAGCCCTGCGTCCTTGCTCACCAGCCTCAATGAGCTGGGGGAAAGACAGCTGGTAACCGTGGTGCGCTGGGCCAAGGCAATACCAGGTAAACTAGTCCGGGCCAAGGTGACACGCTGAAGGCTGGTCCATGCTATATTTAGGTGTTCCTGCCAAGGTCGTGTGCACTAAATTACTCCAATAATTGTTTTCAGGTTTAGCAAACTAATAAAACTTCATGCCAAGCAAAACACTAGAAGGCCACACTTGAGCAAGAGCCACAAAGAAGCATCACTTGTGTAACTCTGTAGTTTGGAGTAATTTAGACCTGCTATAATGTGATCAGGAAAAGTATATAATATCTATTAGGCCTCTAGTAAACTTCCATAGTGGAGCAGCCAATCCTACTGCAATGCAAACCAGCCTGTTCAAATATTAACCACTAGAGGGGGATATGATCATATTTAAGCAAAGGATGGCAGGCTGAAAATGGCCAGCAGTGCACCCATACTGTGATATCCCTGTTGTTATTAGTCTGAAGACTTCACATTTATTTAATTGACCTGTAAAGTGTTATATTATCATTTTCACAGGAGTAGATGTTTGATAAAATAATTGTTTTTAACAGGTTTCCGTGACCTGCATGTGGATGATCAGATGTCAGTGATTCAGTTGTCATGGATGGGGGTGATGGTGTTCGCTTTGGGTTGGAGGTCCTACACACTCACTAACAGCTCCATGCTGTACTTTGCTCCAGACCTGGTCTTCAATGAGTAAGTCACTTTGCACGGCTTTCTTCTGTAGAGTTTTAACATTGACATGTTTGAATTAAACAAAGTTGTTAGAAGTTTGTCATACCTGGTGCAGTCTCTTAATCAAACAAAGAAAAGTTTGTTTGGGCCTGAACAGCTCTAATAATCATTGTGACACTGGGTTTATTGGAATATCTTGAGATTTCACCTGTCATCACGGTTGGAAAGAAAGGCACAGTGGAATACAAGCTTCAGAGGAACATTTAAAAATCACTCGATGAACGTCGTCTTTTCTAGACGAGACAGTAAACAAGGTTGTTCTGTTCCTACCGTTTTCTTTGCATTTGATACACATGGCCGCAGAGGGATCACCTCAGATGATTTATTCCGTTTCATCTTTACGAAACCATCGATAGAACTGCTAAAGCATTGAGTTGTTTCTTTTTTCGCTTTGACAAGTTGTGATACACACCGCAACTTCCTCCAGCCTCTATCGAAATGTTTCTGACACTTCAACTGCTGTCTTTTGTCTCGTCTTTGTACTTTTAAAAGCTTAACAAAAAGTTTCTCACTGAATCACTGTACATGGTATACATAAGTAACTCTATCTCTAACTCTATCCCCTCTTATCAGCAAATTGTCTACAGCGTTGAAGGAGGGTGTTGCTCAGACTGCTAAAGCCAGCCACGGGCCCATAGAGCATGTTTCACTTGGTGGTGTTTTGTGCAACATTAGCAAAATTCTCGTTCTGTCTACATTAGACCTCTGTCACTCTATTGGGCTGCATTGTAATGGATACGCCTGCCCTTGTTGCTGACCCTCATTTTTCTCTGCCTCCCTGTCGTTCTCTTTTTCCATTATCCATCTCACTCATTTTTTCTCACCTCTGCTGCTTTTTCCCTTCTTTCCTTCGCTCTCGATTCTGCCACCGTTAATTGTCTTCCACCTTTCTATATTTCTCCCTGCCTGACCCTCTCTTGGCTTCTCACATCTCTTTTTGTCGCACCTTGTGATCCTTCTTCCTCCTCTCATGCTGTTTTTTTTTTCTCACAGCGAGCGGATGCAAGTGTCCAGTATGTATGAACACTGTGTGAGGATGAAGCTACTCTCCCAAAGGTTCTGCATGCTGAAGGTTACCCAGGAGGAGTTCCTCTGCATGAAGGCCCTGGTCCTCTTCAGCATCAGTGAGTCTGCTGGGACCACGTCTGTAATAATAAGTTGAATGTCAATTCAGCGGGTGAAATATGACTACAATAGTGTGCAGCCATATTTCAGTGAATTGATGGGATGGATAAAGTCTGTGAGAGTTATTGTTGCGTTCTGGCTTTGTGGTCACAGTGCCAGTGGAGGGCCTGAGGAGCCAGCGTTGTTTTGATGAACTGCGGACCTCCTACATCAAGGAGCTGGACCGCTTAGCCAGCCACCGTGGAGAGACCACCCGTACACAGAGACTGTTCCAGCTCACACAGCTGCTGGACTACCTCCAGTCGGTAATAGACACAATCCTACTTCACATATGAAAACACACCATGCTGTGACCTTTATATGAATGTAATTTTAGTTAGTATCACAGAACTATGTGAGCAGGAAGTAGTATGTCAAAGTGCACCTCCCAAGTAAACAAATACTGCAATTGGCTTACAGCTATACAGTGTTAACTTATTAACTAACTAAACTAAATCAAGATTGTTTGATCATCTCATGGCTTGATTACTTCAATTGAGCCTATCAGTTATTACATTTATAATTTCAGCAAAAGTTCAGTTATAGACAGACCTCTACCAACTATATACTTGGAAAAAGTTGTTCCTTCTTATTTTGTCTATGACAAACAGGGGTATTACTCCAATTTATGCACAAATCGCCAGCCATTAACTAAGGTTAAACACATACCAAAGGGTCATAAGACTCCTGTTTTAACTTCTCTATACTGGTTGCATATCAGGGGGGGAAATGATAGAGTCACCCCCTGCTGGTAGCATTGCTACATTAAAATTAGCTGTTTAAGGAGTTATGCACATAGTCTGTGTTGCAAAGTACCCTGATCTAGTCCCGGCCAATGACATCCAGAAGCTGCAGACTGCACTTCCTGTCCAACCTTTGTCACCTACTGTAAAGGAAACATAGCAGCAACAGCATTTCATGTCTGCAGATGAAAACGTGCTGGTTTGAATCATCCACAGACAAATAGTTTCTGCAGTTTTTGTATTTGTGCCACCCACAGACACAATGTTAAATTTTAAACCTGCAAAATGTTAAAGTTGTGTTAGCAACTATACAAAGTATTATAGTAGTATACAAACTACCAACATGTGATCTCTGTCCTTTGCAGAGGTAGGTAAATTTGTTGATTTGATCAAATCCAGGGGAAATTAAAGCATTCAAAGAAAATGTAGATTGACCAAATTTTGAGTGTGAATAATTTACACATCAGAGTCACAGTGGCAGTTCCTGTCAGCAATCACATGCTGAATTATATTTCTGTTTGATAATTTAATATTCAGTGGAGAAGTGTGACTCAATTATGTTCCATTTTTATACATTGTTTGATTTTAGCTTAGGTGTAATAAAGTATTAAATGTAAAACCACAAAGAATATCACACAAAGAAAATGGCAGCTCTGCACTTATACCCTATACCTTTATATGAAAAGAAATTTCAATAAATAAAAAAAACAGAATCCAAACTTATAATTAAACAACATATAGACATGCCTGACTGTCTTGTGAGCTTTATGTTTTTGGGAGGATATTTGTCATGGTTTTAGAAGGCCGGAGAAGCTAATTAAATTTTGTAAAACTTTTTACAATGATTTTTGTAATGTTGAGGGTTATAGTTAAACATTTATTATGTTTATTTATGTATAGGCCTAAAATCTATGCTTATGTGGATTTAAAATATATTTTTTTAATTTGGTTAATGGAGATATGACGTTTCTTGGTAGGGATGCAACCACTAGAGGGTGTAAAACAACTGATTTCCCTTTTTAATACTCGTAGGATTTTTAATACAAACTGGTAAGAACAAAGAGATATCAAAGTAAAACTCCTGACATCAGTGATTGGGACAAAAAGACCTGGAAAGTTTCCTGCTGCAGCAGTTCTAGCCTCATGTCTTTCACTGGGGATTTACCCTTAAAGGCTCAGCTTTGTCCGTGTCCCACTCACATCTCAGATCCTCTAATGCCTTATGAGCTAGAGGGCAGTCAGGGATTGGCTGGTGGTGCCTTTTAGGCAGAAAACCAGAGTTGATCAAGACTTTGCAGTTTAGACCCCTTCGGCTTTACCCTGCCTGTGGAGCTTAGAGTGCCACAATGACTGTCATCTTTTAAATCACCTCTTAAAGCTCATGTCAAAAGACAGAATTCTGTGTCATTTGTTATTTTCTCTTTTATCTGCAGGCTTTGTTCTTTGTCATTGCTTTAAACAGTAAAGCATATCATGTTTGTTATTAATAACCTCTGTGTGATCTCTGCCTCTCTCTCTCTCACTCTCTTCTCTTTTCCTCATTCTCAGATTGTGAGGAAGTTACACCAGTTCACCTATGATCTGTTCATCCAAGCTCAGTCCCTGCAGACGCGTGTCAACTTCCCAGAGATGATCTCGGAGATTGTTAGCGTTCACGTGCCCAAGATCCTCTCAGGCATGGTCAAGCCCATCCTTTTTCACAATACAGCCTAGGGAGAAGTCTCTGGTTGTCCTATATGTCACTTGAGCTCCGGCACCCAGTCTTCGGCCATTTCTGGTGAAGATCGAAACAGCTAAAGAGGGTTTATGATTCTTCCAGCGTATTGTACATATTCTTCCAGCCTATTGTAACTGCATCTACTCCGTTCTTATTACTGACTGTTATCTGTATCGTGCACATCTATTCTGGAGCTGATTAAAACACCTTTTAGCATGCATTCCTCCACACAACAACAACTGGCATGTAGACTTCCTCACATTAACAACATGACAACATGTCATTTTGAGAGGTAAGACAGTGATGAGAAAAACATGTTTGAAGAGTTCACATCCCCATCGCTTGTCTGTGTGCAGTACAGTAGTATGACATTTGCACTAGCTTTTTCCACAATGAATGTTATTGTGTGCACCTGAGGTGAACAAAGTTGCTGATTGACATTTAATAAACGGTTATGGCATGCATGCTAAGAAGCAAAGCTGTCTTGCCTGAAGGCATACAAGAACTTTTTTTTTTTAAAGCTGCTCTCATCCATAGAAGTAATGGTCGACTAATAGTTTTAGGTGTCGACAAAATAAAAACACTTTTAAACTGCAAGTGACTGCAAATTTCAAATGCATATTTATGAATATTGTGATGTCAAAAGGGCACAACAGAAACACTGAAAAAAATAATTGCACAAAACAAAAAAGAAGGAACTGAATTTGAATTTAAGTTTGCTTGTTTTTGGTTGTCAAACATTATTCAAGTACAGTTTTTCCGAGTGGACATTTAATACTGTTGTAACTTTTCTACTGTTTCTTAAAGTGTTCTTTGCAAGTGCTTTTTGGTGCATTATAATGTGTTTCTTGTAGCTTTTGACAGTTTTGCTAAACGTTAAACGTTCAGCTAAAAATCTGCTCGTTTGTTGCCACATTGATAGCTTAAGATGTAATAAAACTGACGCATGAGTGTGTATCTGTTTGTTGATAATGAGGGCAGAGTGAAAGACATGCGCACTGTCGCATTATATACAGTGATCTTCCTGGGGGTTTTTTTTCAGTTTGATAGATTCATGTCAGTTTGCAATGCAGTCAAGTGGACAGACAGGCTTTAGAAAACATCATTCAGACAAGTGTTTTTCTACCACTGCATTAGCCACCCAGCCCGGTAATAGATCACAGCAGGAAACCAGAACAAGCAGGCCTGGCTGGCTGATCTGATATCAGATCGCTGCTTGTGTTTTAATACCATCTAGTGGTGGCTGTCGAATCTACATCAGTACACTGAAACTCAACAATAGTAAGACAACATCTGTTGGATCCATTGACATTTGCTTCGTAATGTAATTGGACACGGATTCACTCAGTGTTTGAACACAGTTACCATTAAATAGTCAGAGTCACGAGAGCGGAGTTCATTGCAATAAAGGAAATAAAGAGTGCTTTTTAATCAGGATTAAATTGTCAAAACTTAATAGGTAATTTGGAAGTAAAAGTTTCATCTTATTTGAATATAATAATTTATCTATATCAGAATATGCTTTTAAAATTGTATTCACAGGAAAGTATATATTTGAGGAAAAATATGTGTATTTAACAGTATTTACAAATGTCTGTAGGGCCAAAGAGAAAATGACATATCTGTGAGAGCTGGTTTATTTTTACATGGTACATTTAAAAGCCCAAACTGTAAAAAGCAGTCTGTCTGGGTAACCTCTACCGCCATTTTAAGTCCCATTTCCTGAACAACCTCTTTCAACAAGTATTTGTCCCTCTCATAAATGAATTGGAGCTGAACGAAGTTGGGATTGAAAGACATGCTGAAATATCACTTATTTCTAAATATATTCCCTGCTACACATGCCCCTGTGGCTTCCCTTAAAAGGGATGGCGTCTCGTAGGTTTGCAATGATCAAAAATGTATGTGTTGATGTCGACATTTGAACTTAGTTTAGATTCCATTTGATTTCTGTGTTTCTCCGAGTCTGCTCTGCATCAATATTACATGCCTACTCTAGCAGAAGAGGGATTTTTTCTGTTGGGTAACGACAACCACAGAAAGCACAAATACACTGCCCACAAACAACAAAAGTTCAAACTATTTCCTCATGTGGAGATGGAGGAAAGATTAATGGGAGGAGAGACTTTCAACATGTCACTTCACTTTGAGAGGATGAACTAAAGGACAAGTGGAGACGCCAAAGTAACTGAACACCCACAATACCAAGCTCAGAAGGAAATGTGGTTGGCACAGAGTACAATACTTCTTGCAATACTCCAGCAATAATGTCTTAAACACCAGGTTACCGCAACTCACAGCTACAGTGACCGGAAAACAATTAGATTGTGGAGGTGGTAAGATGACACCCCTGAATGAGTTGTTTCAGTGGCCTATCTAATGGAGGGCGATTCCTACCCAAGCACCAGTCCATTAACAACCAATTAACTTCCTATTAATATTTTACCAGACAGGGCCTCTCATCCTGACGTGTTTTAAGGAGCTTTTCCCAGGAGTGTTTGAACATGAGCAGCTTTTAGCGCAGCATAAAGAGGCCTGTGTAATGGGCTAGAGGAGGAGGAGTGGCAACCTGATAGCACTGAGAGCAGAGGAGGGGAGAGAGGAGAGGAGACAGACTTCTGCAGCTGGCCTGCCCCGCGCCGGGCCAAGCCTGGGCTGGGCCAAACACACACACACACACACAGTGACTGCAGCCTTAGGAAATCCATGGTTTTATGGCTGCGACATGAGATCAGACATGAGTAACGACCTTGTGCCATGCGTGGAGAGTAATTGTGTTTTGATAGTCAAAGATGTGACAGAGTTTTTTCTTGTTTGCTCAAAATTGCAGCAATTTAGCCTCTGAGAAAGTGCTTCTCACCACCCCAGAGTTTCTCATAAAATAAGTCTTAAAACAGGAATATCCACCTCGGTCTTGATCTGCCATGAGCTAGCTTTGTGCTGCGTAAGGCTGGGTGGACGTATAAAACTAGTTCAGGGAAACTCCCTGCCTTGAGACAAAAAGAAAGAAAGAGAGAGAGAGAGAGGCAGGAAGAAATAGAGAGAGGCCATTATGACTATAGCCTGAGGCTACTCCCAGCGGATAAGGCATTTGTCTTCACTTGAAAGTATGATTTATTTTTCCACCAGTCAGAAGGGTTATGTTTGTCACCGCACACTGAAAGGACTTTTGGAAATAGCAGCCGAAGCAGAAATGGAAAAAAAAGAATGTCCTTTGGTTCTCTAATGCACTCTTCATGTTTTCTCAAAGCCTTCCCTTCTATGGTTACCTTGTTTGAGATCACTTTCAGTCTTCATTAACTTTAGTTAATCATACTGAACCTTGCGTCTAATTTATCAGCAGGAGCATGTGTGTGTGTTGATGATTAAGAGAAAGAGGGGAATGTGGGAAGGGGGAAAGATGTGGTTGTATCAGGTTCCCTCCACTGGGTGTAGATGTGGTCTTAGATTTCTCTCTGGGCTGCTGATTAACCGTGTGTGTGCATGTGTGTGTGTGTCTGCGCATCTGTGTGTGTGAGCTGGGAGTGCACTGAGGAGGAGAGGAACTTCAGCTTTAATTTCCCCCAGCTCCAGATATTACACCCCCGCGCTCTCTGTTTTTATTGGAACAGAGACCAAAAAACACCAAGTGTTTATGATGCATTAAAACACGGTGGGGAACTCGAGTGTGGAATTGTAAATCTATACATTTGGCTCTGTCTCTCCAAAGCAGAATTAATTCTTTTATAGGAGATTTCGTGTATTTTACGAAGACTGATGATTGCAACGCACCATGAAATCATGTTTATCATCTTGATGTGGAGGACAGAGGCTGGAGAAAATTCTCTGTCAAGGGGAAAGAGAGGGAAATGGAGGCAGGACTTTGGATTTAAAATTGCAGAGGGGCACATGGGAGGTGGGAGGAGTCATTGAGTTTTGGGTTGAAGCACAGAAGGAAGGAATTATTCTGCATTACCCTAATGACCATTTGAACAAACGGATGGGTGAGGAGACCACATTACATTCTATTAACTCCGCTTTTGTTGTCAGTGAACTGTTAATGATGTACAAAGGGAGCTCTGCACTGCTCTCCTGGACAATGCATGCTCTGTGATTCTAATTATTCTCAGGAAAGCGCTGACAGCCTTTATACCTGGAGACACATTAGCTAGCTCTAATTAGAGTAAATATTCTTCTGGTATAACACTGGTATTGCTTTGCCAATCCAACAGCGATTAGTGCTGTGTTTTTCTTCAGGGCTGCTTATCCATTCCCAGCCCTTCCCTGTCTCTCATTCTCCTTCTGTTTTTCTGTCTTGATCATTGCCTGTGCCTCTTCCTCACTCTTTTCTTCTCTGAACTCAATTTACTTCCTCTCTTCTTCCCATCTCTCTCCCTCCTTCCTCCCTTTTTTTTCCAGCAGCAGTAGAGCACCACTAGCTGTGACAGACTCACGGTCTGCCCATGCTCCAGCCATCTCCCAAGTTCATTATATCAGTACACAGTGTCCATGCCCTCCGCCCCTCGCAGCCCCTCGTAGCTCCTGCGTCCCAGCCAAACACAATGTGACAGTGCCGCCACAGCCCTCATTTACAGCCATCACAGGACAGATTTCCCCCTTCCAAGGCTCCCGTCTGCAGCCTGATAGATGGCACCCCAGCTTTTTCCTGCGCATGCATGTGAGTGTGCTGTTGTTTTGTGTGTAGGCGCTACTGTGTGTTCATTCGCGTCTCTACTTTAATCTGTGTCTGTCCATCTTTGGGTGTGTGTGTGTGTGTGTGTGTGTGTCTGAGGCCTGAGTTGGAACAGCAATGTTTCCTCTGTCAGTAGTGATCCCTAAAACAATGTATTATAATATCACTGGGCTTTGTTTCCACTCTCTCACACACTGTGTTTTTATATTTAATGCACTCTGCATACATTGTTCTGATTTTCTGCTTGTACTTTCAGAGTGCTGCTCAGTTTTAAGTGCATGGTTTGTGTAAGGCCTTCCATTTCTGTGGCGTGCTTATTGGAGCACCCTTGGGGCAAGCTACATCTTTAGTTTGGGAAATGCTGCAGCACACTTCAGCTGCTACACACACTTTCTGATATCTTGTCTCTTTCCTCCCCTAAATATTGCACTTGTAGCCTCAGGCATCGGTTCTGTGTCATACTGGGAAGGTCAAAACAGACACGCGCACACACGCACTCCACACACACTCATAGATTTCAAATATCTCTATCAGCCCTGCGAGGATCAGATTGTTTTACGGGAAATCATGTCACGGGTCAAATGATTGAATTATTAATGGAAGTGCGGTGCAATAACAATCGGGCCTTGTCTATTGTGATTCCAATGTGATATTCACAGGC